GTGTTTTTTACATACAGTGCTTTTGGTTGCCAAATAAAAACTGCTCTAAAGAGTTTATAACTTCCTTCAAAAACTGCTCTAAAGAGTTTATAACTTCCTTCAGAGCTTAAAGGAACAGTGACAATGTCACAAAGTTCGACAGTAAGTAAAATAAGCATAAATAAGCTCAGATGAGTTAAGATTATAGCAATTTTAAATAACAGAAGAAGAGCAAGAATTTTGGAAATATCACAGGCAGGAAACAAAGTGATAAGACTGAATAAAATGGGATAAACTACAATAATAAAGGATACGGTTGAGATGAGTGGAAATAATAAATATGGGAAAAGATGAGAGGAAAGATCAGGTGAGATAAAATAAATTACAGTGAGATAATCGAGCAGAGGGGTAAGATGAGGAGATAGGACGAAACAAATTGAGGTGAGATAAGATAAACTGTAAGAAGAATGGGGATTAGAATACTTAACATCAAGATTGATTGGAAATAAGAAAGGGAAATGAGCTGAGAAAATTAGAAATAACATACAGAGAAGACATTAGAGGTGATAAAGTAGAAGATAAGATAAAATAAATTTAGAGATGAGTGGAGAGGTTACATTAGATACAATTAGGAAATATTACTAAAAAGGAGATAAAAACGAATAAGAATAAAAGACAAAAGAGAAGATGAGACATGGTATCGGTACAGGAGATAAGGTATGACAGGAGGATGTAAAAGAAAAGGTGAAATTATATAAAATATTGAGTTAAAAAGGAAGGAAGTGAGCTGAGATCATATGGGAGAAAATAAGAGTATAGGAGATAAACTATCAAGAGACACTGTGTCAAACCTGCATCTTAAAGAACGCTAAGTCCAGCATTTAAAAATGGACGTGCTATTGTTGCACTACATTATCAAACATGAAAGTGATCCAAATGATCCAACATGATGTGTCAACAGACAATATAGATTAAACTTTCCTCTTAAGAGCTGTGATTCTATTCTTAATGTAGAATTTAATAGATAACCAATTTCTGTTTTTAAGTGCTACTTTTTCCTGTTCAAGGCATTTATCGCAGTCGCTTTTCCCAGGAACACAACATTTGATGATGAAGGACATCATGTGCTTCTCAATGGCAAGGATCTCCTCGTTCTCCCACATCCTTGTCTTGGCAGGCTGACGAGCTGTAAAATAGTTAAGACACATTGCATTTCTGTGTTTCTATATGGACAAGCTTTTGAAATCAATAAACAGTTAAAGTCAACCATCATGAGCTGACCAAGCTTAAGACTGTGGAGATAACAGTGGACTTAAGGAGAAGCCACACTCCATCCCCTCACCATACACAACAGCACTATGTCCACAATGGACACTTTCAAGTTCCTAGGACCACAATCTCCCGGGACCTGAAGTGGACCGCTCACATAGACACTATCCAGAAAAAGGCCCAGCAGAGGATGTATTTCCTGTGTCAGCTCAGGAAGTTCAACCTGCCTTGGGAGCTGCTCATCATATTCTACACTGCAATCTTCCAGTCAGTTCTCTGCACATCAATAACTATTTTGATCTGTAATCGAACAGGACAGACAGACTGCAGCAGACAATCAGGACTGCAGAGAAACTCATCAGGCCCTCCACCCAGAACTTATACTGGTCCAGGGTCAGGGAATGGGCAGGTAACATTCCTGCAGATCCCTTACAGCCCAGACACAAACTGTTGAAACTCATGATGCTCCATTAGATCACTGTACACCAAAACAACCAGACACAGGAATAGTTTCTTCCCCCAGGCCGTCACACCGATAAATACATAATAGTCACAGCATCAGAACTATCACTGTGAAAAAGTCATGTGGCAGCCAATGTGAATGTAAATAACATTATTTACCTATCAATTAATATATTACTTAACTATTATGTATATTCATTCACAGTTAATCATGCTAATATAATTTCTTTATTTGATGCACAAATGTATGTAACTGAAAATACTGTAAAATTGATCTCTCATGTAAATTAAACAATTTGCTCTGTTATTACATTATGTTTATTCCGACATCTTATTGTGTAATGTTGGCTTTACATCTTAGTTTAATGTTTAATGCTTGTAGATAGAGAGTAAAGTTAACCAGAGCCAAACTCGTATGCTTGTATGTTTACACACACGTGGACAATAAAGCTGACTCTTTCTGAAGACCCTGATCATCATTCCCTGTTTTAAAACAAGAATTGTCTTTGTTCCCACAATGTCTATTACAGTACAGCATCATAAAACACACTGACAATCAAACAAATCAACCTTGGACAATAATATACATTTTTTTTAGATTGATCTTTTAGCACTTGCCTCTTTCTCTTTTTGATGACTGAGGGTGCTGTGGTGAGGCATCGCTACGGTTCTGCTGTGGTGAGGCATCGCTACGGTTCTGCTGTGGTGAGGCATTGCTATGGCCCACATCTGATGCCTCGTTCTCCTCCCTCTGACTGGATGTGACCCGACTTTCTAAAAACCACAACAACAAAAAAAAAACAACAGAAAATATGAAATTCCAGTGTATTTATCCTACCCCAGTAAATGACTATGTCCCAGGCTCAACCTAATAATCAGTATCAGCGTTCTAATGGACTGGTATTGTCAAAATTAGTCTTATCCCTCCGTGTGGCTGTTACTATGCTACTCCTTTCAACAAATTGAGTCCACAGTGGGAGCATTCCCCTCACCAAATGCTAGTACAAATTAGAGGACTGCAAGCTCCGTAGACACAAGTTCCACTAAGGGGAGGATGAGTTGCATTGAACTGTTTATCTTTAACTCATACAATATTAACATTTAGTAAACAAAAGAAACAGACTAAGTGACAGAAGTTATACTACATTAAAGGAGCCAAAAATATAAATGGGATATCCTTACACATAATGGATGTCTTCTAAATACATAAGCATGTTCACAATTCAACTCGCATGAAAATACTTACCGTGTTTGTCTGGGTCCACCTCAGCATCGCTGTCAGGTTGCACATTCTCTGTTAGGGGGTGGTAGTAAGGAGAATGACTCTGGTTTAAATTCATTTGATTCATGCATAAATAATGCCTTTAGGAAAATGTATGAAATATACATTTTTTATTTATGTAGAGACATTTGAAAAGAGATTTAAAAACAATAGTACCCTCAGGGTCAATGCTGATTTCATCGAGGGTCTTTCCCTTAAATTCTGCCAGGCGTCCTTTTTCCAGAGCCATGAGAACTTTGCTTATTTTAGCAAGTTGGAGGGTGCCCTCAGGAAGGCTGTAGAACTGCCGATGCACTCTAATATCATGGCCGAGAAAATCTGCTAACTGATCCAGCTCTGTATTACTGAGGTTGAGAACTTGAGATAGTGTTCCTGTTTGTTTGCGCAGTTTTGTCGAGGTTAGACTTTCAGGACTTGTTGCACCACAGACCTTGGCAAAATGTCTAAGGCTATCAGAACCACGGTAGCAGGTAAAAGCAGTTGGTCTTGCAAATAAGTACTTGTTCTCCTGAGGAACCCCACATTCATGCCGTTTGCTCACCAGCAGATCCAATGCTTGCTGCATTGCTGGGGTCAAAAGCACAGGAACTTTTCTTCCCCTTTTTCCTCTTGTCTCAATCCTTCTGAAGTGTTGGCAGAGTTTCTTTTCTAATGCAGACAGAGCTTCACTGACATCTTCCCGAGGGTCTGATACATTGTTAGCCAGATATGCAGACAGGGGCATTTTGGACACCTCCCCTGCTCTTCTTCGGTTGAACAAAATAACTTGTGTCAAAGTGATCTTTGCCAGCTGTGTCCATGTCTGCGGGGATGCCTCTGTTGATAATTTTGCGTGGATGTGCTTTTGTTGAACATCCAAAAAAGAATGCAAGGTCTGGACATCTTTTGTGAATGGAAGCAACAGAGGGGTATTCCACTTGGATTCCTCAAGAGTTCTTAGAGATGCAGCTGATATCATCTCGTTTCATCTGGCCTCATATACTCTGCGGAATGTACGAGCATCTTTTGCCACACTGTAGTTGTTCTGTACATTGGCACGGCTTTCAACAAGAAGAGAAATCTTAGTCAAGCTATGTCCAATTTTGAGAGCAAGACTTGGGCACTTATAAGCATGTTTTTCACTGTCATAGCCTGCCACACATTTCACAGCTTGGACAACTTGCATAAAGTTTGCAGGTTTGATGTGGTCTTGAATAGTCTTTAAGGAAGTGGTTTTCCTTGAGCAGAGCAGAAGCCTTCCAAGCTCTCTACATTTCTGCCGAATGTACTCATGTTTGCCAGCATCATAACCAAGTCGGTTAAACAGATGCTCACCATACTCCATGATACAGGCATCAGATTTGACTGCAGAAGAAACTTCATCTTGTACCATATTGGTTATCAATCTCCTGGAGAGCCTGGACACGGGTTTTGCCTGGTTTGCCTGGAACATTAGGCTTGAACTTGCAGACGATCATGTGCCGCCAAAGAAGTTTCCTTGCATAAAACCCTTGACAATATGTACAATGCATGAAATCCTGTGCTTTGGAGTTCTGTCTTGGCTGCCTGCGAGGAACAAGATTTCCAACACCGGAATTTAATACTTCAACATTGTGTGCAAAGTTGCCTCTGTTTCTCAAATGTTCCAGATGCATTCGTCTTTCTTTTGAGCATTTAGGAAAGGATAAAGCCTCTGCAACCTCTGTCGTATTGGGATGAGCCCGCTCCAAATGTCTTGCAATTTTAACAACTCCCAACTTACAGTAAAGACAAAACTGCTTTTTGTTGTATATTCTTGACCCGTTCTCCTTTTTACAGATGGTAGGTATGACGAGTGAATCATCAGAATCTCTATCTTCTATAAGGAGTGAAGAGGCACTGTCAGGAAGATTCTGGTCCAGATCTGGAATTGAGTTTTCTAACAGGGAACCAGTGTCTCCTATTTCACTCAGTTTTGATGAGTTACCACTCCTAGTTGGTGTTGTAGCACAGGACACGCTAGTTAAACGTTGCCTTTTATGTCTTGTACCACGGCTGCATCTCTTTCTTAAGGGTGAGCGTCCTCTATAAACCAACTGTTTTGAAGAGGCACTTGCTTCTGTTGGGGAAAAAACACTATCTTCAATGTCATCCACATGCCTTTGAAGCAAACTGTCTCTCTGGCTCTCTCTCTGTTTGACGGGCCCAAGAACTTCACTGATGTCTGTACCATCAGAATCTTCACTGGTCTTTGGGATATATTCCTCTCCACTGTCAGCTGAGGTTGAGTCAAAAAGCTCATCCGAATCCAAATCAATCCAGTTTTTCATCTTGGGAAAATAAAATGTAATATAAATTCTTGTTGAAATATTTGCTTAACCTTTTTTTCATCTTGCTCAAAATTATTTGTTTCTTTACCTGTATGCTTTTGGTCCTCCTAAGCCTAGGGATAGGAACTTGGTGGTAACCCTTTTTGGAGAGGCTGAGTTCATAGTCAGAGGCAGAACTTGGACTTGATATCTAGAGTCCAAAAGAAATGTTTTTTTTCACTTCTATCAACAACAAAATAACACAATTGATGAAAAAGATACACACACAAAATGTACCAACTTCACAATACCTGAAAACATCTGTTAACATGAACAGGATTCCTAGATGGAGTCTGAGATTCATCAGAATCTGTGTAGTCGACAATGGAAATATTTACTCCAACTTTGTTCAGACCGGTTGCATCAGAGCCCTATTGAAATAATAGTGACATGATAAAAAGAAATGTGAAAAATACAAAGCTTTGTAGAGTGGCGGCATTTTACATGATTAGGTGACACATCATGTTGGTTATCAAGTCATTCATCAGTCTCTTACATTTGCACACTGTTTTTGTCTTGCCGGTTTTCTGCTCATATCACTTCTATACTTCATTTTATGCCTGTATGTCCCTCTTCTACTGAACAAGAACAAAAGAAGACAAAAGCACATAGCCCACTATGCTGGACAAAAAGGTCATTATTTCGGTAAAATCTAATTACATTGTGCATATTTTCATACATTTATTTTATAGTGCGAGGCATTGCTAAATCCCTATTTATGACACATTTTTTAATGGTCTGATGAATTTAGATAAACTGTGAGTTGGTGTATTAAAAATATATTTCAAAAACATTAGAAATTAAGTGATTTCATGCATTTAATGACTTCAGTAAATTAGAATACACCAAACAGAAAAACCTCCAAATAAACTGGCACTGTATCTCACCCTCTAGAATGAGTGCCTTCTAGCATACCTCTCAAATCAGATGAACATAGATCGTAACCAAACAAATATGTACTTAATAATAATCAATAATGTTGATACTTCAACAATGGATCAATGAGGAGAGGCTTCAAGATCTAAAAGGAAGACCAGTAAACGGTTCAGAAACATAAATGAATACCTCAATCTGGGAGACAGAAGTGCTCTGAGGATCCTGCTCCGTGGTTCTGGAGATGTCAGCCTCAGCAGAGTCTGTCATAGGAGATTGGCCTCCATCCTGAAGAATATAATTAAGTTTAATTGTTGATGGAAATAATCACTGACATATCTCAGATGTAATACCATTAAGCAAATACAAATGAGAAAAATACTTCTTGTATAGTTATTCAGTACATCATGTGTCATTAAGTTTGAATTCCCCTCCACTTTGATCCATTGTTTGTGTGTTAACTCTTAGAAGTACATCTTGGTTTGATTTAGATCAATGTACTCTGGCTGTAGGAACTTCCAGGTGTATATGATGTTGTAGTGTCCTCTCAGAGTGTTTCCTTAACTTAAACACACCTGTCAGGTGTATATGATGTTGTAGTGTCCTCTCAGAGTGTTTCCTTAACTTAAACACACCTGTCAGGTGTATATGATGTTGTAGTGTCCTCTCAGAATGTTTCCTTCACTTAAACACACCTGTCAGGTGTTTATGATGTTGTGGGGTCATCTCAGAGTGTTTCATTGGGTGTTACCCCTCCCCCACTTACACACCTGTCATGTGTCCTGTTTTGTGGGGTCCACGATTAGTGAATTATATTGATATCATTTAATGACACTTTATTTAGTGCAGTGGAAAACAGATGAAGCCAGAGTTCAATGGTTAGTGTCACTCATGGTGTTCAATTAAAATGTTGGTCAGAAAGAATAAACTAAGTGTCATTAAATGTTTATATAATAATAAAGTAACCGTGGACCCCACAAAAACAAGATACCTGACAGGTGTGTGTGTGAAATGGAGAGTACTTATCTACTAAACCAGCACCCTGACAGGACCCCAAAACCTCATAAAAACCTGAATGTGCCTGCTAGCACACCTATGACCTCAGACTGACACTGATTTTAATCAAATCTAAATTTAATCTAAAGCGTTAACACTAAAACAATGGATCAATGAGGAGAGGCTTCAACATCTAAAGGAAGACCAGAAAACGGTTCAGAAACATAAATGAATACCTCAATCTGGGAGACAGAAGTGCTCTGAGGATCCTGCTCCGTGGTTCTGGAGATGCCAGCCTCAGCAAAGTCTGTCATAGGAGACTGACTTCCATCCTGAAGAACATAATTAACCATCATTACTGATTGTTGATCAGTATTCAACTGATTCAGATTCAACAATTAACATTACAACAAAATCTTTAAAAACATACTTATTGTAGAACACCCTGAAGCCTTTAGTTTTCATTTTCCATCTATGACCCAAGACTGACACTGATTTTAACCAAATATCAATCTAAAGTGTTAACATTAAAACAATGAATCAATGAGGAGGGGCTTCAAAAACTAAAGGAGGGACACACTGAAGACCAGAAAAAGTTCAGAAACATAAATGAATACCTCAATCTGGGAGACAGAAGTGCTCTGAGGATCCTGCTCCGTGGTTCTGGAGATGTCAGCCTCAGCAGAGTCTGTCATAGGAGATTGGCCTCCATCCTGAAGAATATAATTAACCATCATTACTGATTGTTGTTGATTTAGATTCAACAAGCAACATTACAACAAAATCTTTAAAAACATACTTATTGTAGAACACCCTGAAGCCTTTAGTTTTCATTTTCCATCTATGACCCAACACTGACACTGATTTTAACCAAATATCAATCTAAAGTGTTAACATTAAAACAATGGATCAATGAGGAGGGGCTTCAAAAACTAAAGGAGGGACACACTGAAGACCAGAAAAAGTTCAGAAACATAAATGAATACCTCAATCTGGGAGACAGAAGTGCTCTGAGGATCCTGCTCCGTGGTTCTGGAGATGTCAGCCTCAGCAGAATTTTTCACGGTAAATTTGCTTCCATCCTGAAGAAAAATTCAGTGTAATTGTTCAGTTGTAATCAACAGAATAACACCTGGGTGTGCTACTCAATTTAGACTAACCTGTTTCCTCCAAGGCCAATCTGCTTGTCCATAATCATATGTTATCTCTTCCCCAGCATTGATGTCCATCATAGCAAAGAGAAAGAGGTACGGCTTGCCTTCTGCTATGATCTTCTTCATTTTACAGTTCGGGTGCTTGTCGTCATCATTGACTAGTCTTCCTAGACTGCCATCTTCTCGAGCTGCATCAACACTTCAAAAATATATTAAATCAATTATTAGACTTCATAAAATCAAATATCTGATAGAATTTAAAAATAATAATAATCCACCAATCATTTAAGAGAGAGCTTCAATAAAGATCATTTAGTTTTTTTTGTAACACAGCTCAAAGCTTTCATTCAAGTGACCATCACAGAGGGCTGAGGACAAAAAGTGCTGAGGGAAGTAGGGTCCACCATTGAACACTGTAGAACTGCAGAACAGAAAATACTTAGATCAAGTGAACACAATATTTGATGTCAGGATGAGAAGTCTGTTCCCTCACGAGGACAGCAGAGTGTCAAACAGCATTAATCCACGATCTCCTCCTCTCTGGGTTTTCTATCAAACATTACATTCTGTAGAAGAACAACCCTGGCTTATCTCCTTGTCAGTTAGTTCATCATCCAACAACTACTGACTTTGATTGAAATATTCAAAGAAGACTGATATTAGCATGTGGATAGCAGCTGAGACCGATAACTTCCCCGTAGTATACAGCAGTATGGAGCCTTTCTTGCCCGCCAGGTTGGCGGTTCCTTAAGTGTGTGATGTCACATGCAAGCTATGAATACCTTTAATACTTTAAGTAGACAGATCTTTACTGCCCAATTAACTTAATGACTTGAATTAATATCACACATTGTTTATGAGATGAAAATACCTCAGCTGTGAAGAAATAAATTATTTAAAACTCAATCTTAGCCTTACCACCATGTTTTATCATGCCAGTGGAAGTCAAACATGAAGACAGCACATCTGCCATGGTATACTCTCCTCCTTCGACACACACACACACACACACACACACACACACACACACACACACACACACACACACACACACACACACACACACACACACACCACACACACACACACACACACACACACACACACACACACACACGTCCACTTTGGGGTCGCACATTTCAACACCCCCCCTTAGAGGACACCACTTTCTGAATGGTTTACAGAGATGCTGGCAAGTGGAATATATTACTGGGAGTCGCCAGATTATGAAAATCACTTGAGATTTTAGTTTTAAACAACTTTTGTCCATACACAATTTTTACCTTGAGATTGGGGACAAATAATTCTAATGTCCCATTTGGGGTCTTCAGCTATACACAAATACACAGACTGATAAAAGTCACCTTTGGGTGCCTCACTTTCCTTTGGGGACAAGACTCATTAAATGTCATTATCTGCATGCACATTCAGCTATGTTCAGTCGGGAGAGCATGTTGTAATGAAATATGAAATTCAATCTTTGAATTAACAACACTGGTCTCAAGTAGCTTCTGAGATATCTAAAGAAAACGCATTAAACTTGAAGTAAACCCCAAATTACCTCATACTGAAGGAAGAAGTAGTAATTAAACCTATAATGCTGTTTTTTTTCTGGTGACTGGGACAAAGTGCCAATGGTTAAAGTTAGAGTTATTCTCCTCCTCTTCTGTCTGCGCTGGCTTCCTCAATCTACAACAACAAATTGAAGAACAGGAAGGAAGGATTTCCCCACTACCAAATTAACCAAGATGAACAGCTTACTGACATGCTGTTTGAATCATCAACCTATATTCCTGCTATCAAAACATCAGAATCAGAAGCACCAGTCAAATTTGCAGATTCGGAGACTGCAACCCATGCTACAGACCTGGCTGACCCCTGACTTGACTCAAGCACAAATGGACTGGAGGTATCCCCACCGGCACTCGCTACAGACCTAGCTGACACCCTCTCCTGGGTCTCACTGGGGACTCCCCACTGGTGCTCACCACAGATCTCTGCAAAGCAAAGGTGCTAGGCTGAAAGTCTCCACTCCTGGTCAGCTGTGGTCTGATGTTGTCTGTCGGGTAAAAAACAAGCACAAGTGCAAATCTCAAGACACTCCCCCAATGCTTAGTGAACCAGATGTAATGACTGGTAATGGTAATGACAGCACTACCATGTAAGGGATGCAGCGTGTTAGTACTAGCTTCAGAGCTAATGCCAAAACCTGCATAATGTCCATTTCTCCTGCCTACTACAACACCACTATTGAGCTACCCTGCTGAGTTTACCTGAAGAATCTGAACCTACAAAGTAGGTATACATTCGCCTTGAGAGACTGACAACTTTGTCTAGCTCACTG